TCCCCCGTTGAGATGGAAATAATTTATCCATGGTTTGTGTGTCTTGATGAGATAGTCTTGGAGCCCACTCATAGCTCAATCCTCTCAGCATTAAGGAAGGATTTTTCTCAAAATGGGAATTGTGCCTTTTTTTAATTCCTGAATTGGATAAAGAAATCAGAACTTAAAAAAAAATTCCTTAGGAATGTCGTCTGTTTTTTCCCTGCTTTTGCTGGAGAACTCTGGCCCATTTATTCTAAGCTCTAACTCCTTAATGGAAAGAGTGTTGAATCCTTCAGATAGGCTGCCTTTCTCCATAATGGTAATTAGGCATCAACGTTAAATATGTATTAACAAAACCCACAGAGTTTTAAACAACCTGACTAAAAATCCCTTTCCTTTCCAATTGCTCAGCTTTCACTCTCGTAGCTCTTCTGATGTCATCATTCCATCCTTCAACCACCATGGAATCTTCCAAACTAGACAAGACCTAAATTTCTAATGTACAAACCAAAAAACAAACAAACAAAAAACCCAGTTCAGCCCTTCTTTTTCCAGCATAAAGAAGCAAAAAAGGCACAAGCCCAATTCCCACCCATCCCGCTTTACTGGTCATCTTTAACCATTTAATTCTTACCGAGTTTCCGTATTATCTCTGGAGTATATTTCAGCTTCAGCTGTCAGTGCTGGGGGGAGCCATCTGTCTCATGTTTGTTTGGCAATAATAAATGATAATATTTCACAGGGTTTTGTGAGGCAGCCTGGAAACAAATCCTTAGTGAGGAGTAATCACCTTTAGGTAAAACTTGCCAAACACAACCACTTCGGAGACCAAGGACAGACAATCTGTGGCTCAAAATGAGAATTTTTCTAATGTTATCCCACCTGTCAGGGGTTCTAATGGCTGAATGGAACCTCACTGGAGTGTAACAATCATCCTCCATTCATGTTTGTACCTAGCAGTTTGCAACACCTGTGGCTCACTTACACCTTCTTCCCTGCACAGGTATGCTGAAAGTATTTCCTGTCAACCCACCATAATGCACCCATAGAGATCAGGCATAGTCTGACTCCCAGCATTGCCAGAGCAAAGGGGTGGCGGCAGCCATTGACCGCTGCTGGCAGCATACTGCAGCATGTAGGCGGGGGAGGCCCTGCTCTCGGGGTCAGGCTGGTGATGCTGTAGGAAAGCACTAACTTCACTTGTGAAGGTGTAGCTAAGGGCTAAACTTCTTGTTCTTCTCCCAGGCCTCTAGACGGAGATAGTATGCCTTTCCAAGGCACCCCATCCTCAGGCATCGCAGCTGGGCACTTTGCTTCTGCCTCTTCTCTTGGGAAACCCAGTTTCACAAGTGTTCAGTCAAACAATGTGAATAATGGGGCTTTCAAGTCACTGGGGTGGGGGAAAGAAATGTTTTTGGTCAAACCAATTTTTCAAAATGTTCGGAAAATCCCAAAATCGAAAAATTGTTTTGGGTCAAACAACGTATTTTGTGTTGATTTTGCCCATTTTAAAATGGTTTTGGTTGTATTTTTAATCAAATTGAAGGAAGTTACAAATCAAAAAGTCATTTTGAAACAAGAAATTGAAACATTTCATTTAGAAAAATGTCAAAACAGATTTTTTCAAAATTTTGGTGTGCTTGGGGGTTTTGACTGAAACAATTCAGCAAAACCGGCATTAATCTACAAAACATTTCCGTGTTGCTGAAGCTGCATTTTTTGCCAAAATAACATTTTGGCCAAAAAATTTCACCTAGCTCTAGTGTTCAATAGTCAAGCGTAAAAAGAAAGTGGTCTAAGACAGCACAACATTCAGGCTTCATTCCTTCTTGTACATATTCTGACTTCTCTCATCAAGAACTTCTTTACAGGTTTCAAAGATATTACCCTATGCATAAGCTTGGAATGATTAGATTTGTATTTCACCACACACACAAATTGCCAAAAAATATTTCCATCAATAATTGAAATGTACAGAGGCAAAGTAAGAAAAATGATGGTTGAGAATTTGTTAGAGTTTGATTTAAGGACATTTACTTTGTATGTTTTGACATGATGTTGACAATTTATGTTTTAATAATTATAAAGTTTTAACTTTTTGAATCTCAAACTCTACTGCCATTAAATAATTGTCTGATCCCCCCCCCCATAATTTCCCACAACTGAAAATTTAAATAAATAAAAATAGAGGAAAATGCTTAAAACCCATAATTTTGTGCAACTGTAAAAATTTTAATTGAGAAAAATAGAAAAAATGCTTAAAATAAACATCGATATTATCTGTCAAAATTATAACCTAAAAATCGAATTCTGCCAAGCCTAGGTATATACATAAGCATACTATCATACTATAACGCCCCCTATTGGGAAGCAATCTATTGTAACAGTCAGAGCCATAATTGAGCCCCTAACCATCTTAATGTCTTCATAGGATATTGTTTGGATCTTCTACTAACCGCTTCTGTTGTTGTTCTGGTTCAGTAGGAAATCCAGGAGCTGCAGTAGGCATATTGTTCCAGTATAAGAATTTAATTTACTTTCAAACATACATGGCCAAGTTTTCAAAGCCTCAGGATGCCTGTGCGAACGCCCACATGCACACTGTTCAACTCTAACACTAACATGATGTGACGGAGCAGGGAGCAGGGCAGATTTGACCTGGGAATGTTGCAGGTGGGTTGCAGTGGGGATGTGGGACTTCCCT